ATATTATGGAACTATACTTTGACGTTTATCCAGATACTTAGTAGGCATGGTAAGGGCGGGGTTGATAACAGTTATAATTAAAACTAATGCGATAATAAAGACTAAATAAAACTTTGCCATTTTGAGAATGATTTTTTTCAATCAAGAGGGAAAAGTTTGAGTAGAACGCAAAACAAAAAAAGCAAACATATTAGGTATTTATAATTTTCTAAATACATATAATTAAATATTGCGCTCACTATTATTTTATAGTATATAATGACGAACAAGCTCTTAACGCAGATTAGTTGCAACGTTTGCATACGTGCCTGAAGTTGGCATCTGCCTGAAGTTGAAACTTCAGGTACCTGAAGTTGGCACCTGCCTAAAACCGCTGGCTAGTGCGTGCAGGACGGTCTAATTTCAGGGGCTAATTTCAGTCAGGTGCAACTTCAGGTACCTGAAGTTCCAACTTTAGTCGGGTGACAACTTCAGACACGACATGATTATGCGTGATTATGTCTGTGTTTGTATGCAATTGTACATGACTACGATTTATTTTTAAATATGAGTGCTGCCGAGGGAAAAGGGTCACTTGGCTTTTTAAGTATTTTATCATTATTGACCTGATTTAGCCAATCTGTCATCGGGCTTTAAATTAATTGAATATGAGTGTCGCTAAAAGAAAACCCGAAAATTTAAATATGACTTATATTTAAATTTTCGGGTTTTTTTTTAGCGACACTATATAAAATTTTGAAATATATAATTGAAAGCTCGATATGTATTGATCAGAAAGGCTGAATTAGATAAGTAATCAATAATATACTTAAAAAAACCAAGTGGCCCTTTTCCCTTGGCAGCGCTCATATAAATAGAAATAAGGTTAAATTTTGTTTTAGGTGTACTTCGAGTAAACAATGACAATTCTTTTAAGTATATTCTCGTGGATTTAAAATTGCAAAAATGGCCCTTAAAATCACGCATAGTTTATCTTACTCATGACGGTTATAGCAAATAGGAAATTGCAAATTCTTATACATAAGTGAAAGTTTAGTAAAAAAAAAAAAAAAAAAACGCACTTAAAATATATAACAAATAGCATTGTATAAAAATCCGTTTAAGGAAGCTTAAGGTCGAAAAAGATTGTTTAATCATAATATATAAAAGTAAATTTTATTTATTATTTTATAATAAAAATTCTATAAAACCTATTATCGCGGTTTGCAAATTGATGTACCATATTTCGCGGTTTAAACCACCCTTTCTGTAAAAAACTTAATGGCTTATAAGGATATTTCTAGATATGGGTCTTTCTAATTAATTGTTAATAGGGAATTGTTAAATTAAAGAATGTTATCCGACAAACTCTTATGATCATAAATATGGGTGCCGCCAAGAGAAAACCAGGAATTCTAAAAATAGACTTCCATCCACAGCGAAGTTGCGGGGTTTTTTAATCGGTCAATGTAATAACATCGTGTTATTACATTGACCGATTAAAAAACCCCGCAACTTCGCTGTGGATGGAAGTCTATTTTTAGAATTCCTGGTTTTCTCTTGGCGTCACCCATATATTTCTTTCGCGCAGTATTAAATTACAAACTGCTGGCACAATAGAAATTCACACAAATAAAAAATGAAGTACTGTAGATATAGTAAAAATTCTATAACAAAATAAGTAAAGAAGTACATGGTAAAACGTTTTCTTTGTAGCCTCTTAAACTTTACAATAACGATAATATTACAGTAAAGAGTGCTGCGGGACAATTTAATAATGATATACCGGTATTGCTGCGGTTAATTACTACATGGCTGCGCCAAAGGCCACGTTACAGCACTTTTCGGGGGTCTCCCTGGATGGAATGATTCTTGTCAATTATTTTAAGGGTTGCGTTTTTTTTATAAAAAAAAAAAAAAAAACGAATCACCACTCTTGTTTCATACAATAATGCCGGTAGTAACAACCGCTCAGCTTGTAAAATTACAATCGCGCACAGAAAATATACGAAACATTTGCATTTTAGCACATGTTGATCATGGAAAAACAACACTGTCTGATTCTTTGTTGGCCTCGAATGGAATAATATCTAGTAAGCTTGCGGGAAAAGTAAGATACCTTGATAGTCGAGAGGACGAACAAGAAAGAGGAATAACTATGGAAGCAAGTGGCATTTCACTTTATTTTCAAATTTTACGTAAAGCTACGGAAGAAGGTATCTCAAAATTCTTAAAGGTTAAATAATTTATAATGCTTTCGAAACTTAGTAAATTGTTTTGCTTATATAATTTAATAAAATTTAAAAAGAAACTATAACAAATTCTGATGAATATTTGATAAATCTTATTGATGCTCCTGGACATGTCGATTTTTCAAGTGAAGTCTCGACAGCATCCAGGTTGTGTGATGGCGCTTTAATTCTTGTCGATGTTGTCGAAGGTGTTTGTACACAGGTGTGATTGAGAAACTCTTATCCGATTAGCAAGTTGCGTTCTTTTGTTAATTGAAAAAGATTGGTTCGGCTGGATCCATTTCAATTAATGAATCTAAGTAAAATCAAATAATAAAATCGAATAAAACTTTTATTAAGACACACACAGTGCTCCGCCAAGCTTGGGTAGAGAATGTTCGACCCATCCTGATTCTAAATAAAATAGATCGACTCATTACTGAATTGAAATTAACACCATTGGAGGCCCAAGTTCATCTAAATAAAATTATTGAACAAGTTAATGCAATAGTGGGAACTTACTTTGCCGGCGATGTGATGGAAGAAGAAACAAAAAGACATGAGGCTGAGAAAGTACGAATTCAAAAGAGTCTAAACCTCATATTTAATAGTACTAACTTGTCGCTTATATCGGCTACAGGAAAAACTCTTACATCAAGGAAAGGATTTTGAATCTACGAGTTCCAATGATGAAATATTTGAGGAACATGATGATTCTAATATATATTTTACACCCGAGTCTGGCAACGTTGTTTTTGCTAGTGCTCTTGATGGATGGGCATTTAGGTAAATCTATTAAAATACCACAATTATATCAGTTTGTCAACAACTTCCTTTCAAAAGTTGATTGTTTACAGTGATATCCGATCCGGACGAATAGAATCGAACAATTTGCTCAAATATACGCAGCAAAATTAGGTATTAAAGAATCCGTACTTTGTAAAGTACTCTGGGGTGATTATTATCTCGATCCAAAGACGAAACGTTTTTTGCAACACAAGCATCTTAAAGGGCGACAATTAAAACCAATGTTTGTTCAATTTGTGCTGGAAAACATATGGACAGTGTATGATTCAGTGATTATAAATAAGTATGTTTTTTAAAAAAAAATTTGATTCATGACAAAATTATGTGGCTTCAATAATCTGATTTATTTTCCCAAAATTAAGCAATCGTGAGAAAGTTGAAAAGATTGTCAAAAGTCTCCAATTGAAGATCCTACCAAGAGATATGCGCTCTAAAGATACTCGCATGTTACTGACGTCAATTTTCAATCAATGGCTGCCTTTGTCAACAGCTGTTTTACATATCCTTTTATTTTCTAATGTTAATTTAGTCAAAGCTTTATATACCAATATAACAAGAAAATTCGCTACCATTTTTAATGAATTTACATTAAATCCTTAACACCATGCACTCGCCGTAATTGATCGGCTTCCATCGCCAATTGTCGCACAACCGATGCGATTACCACGAATGCTTTCTATAGATGTTAAAAAAAAAACAATAAACGAAGTTGAACATGGATTATTTAGTTGTGATGCCAGTGATTCTGCACCCGTCGTTGCATACGTATCAAAAATGTTTGCTGTACATTCGGATATGTTACCGGAAAACAGAAGAAAACAATTGTCTGCCGAAGAATTGAGAGAAAGGGGAAGGCTTCAAAGAATAGCACGGTTGCATTCTTCAAATACTCGTGCCGGAGAAGAGCCAGTTTTAAATACAGCTGCTTCAGATAGTGATAATAGCGAGATTCCAATATCTGAATCATTGGATGCTTCCTTGGAACAATTGCATCTTCATTCTACCATAGATTCAGAAGATACAATGGTCTCTGAGCAAAAACCCTCCGAAGAAACATTCACAGGATTTTCTCGTCTTTATTCTGGCACCATTAGAGTTGGTCAAAAACTTTATGTTCTTGGGCCCAAATATGATCCTGCTTTCCCTGATAGACATTGTTCTGAGATAACGGTTAAAAGTCTATACTTAATGATGGGAAGAGAATTAGAGTCTCTTCAAGAAGTACCGGCTGGCAATGTTTTTGGTATCGGTGGACTTGAAGGCCATATATTGAAGAATGGAACTCTGTGCAGCACGAAAGATTGCAAAAATCTCGCTGGCGTTACATTAGAGGTAATGTTTCAATATTTGCTATTCATATGGAAACTTCATTTCTAACAAATTTATGGTTACCCATGTTAGTCTGCGCCAATTGTTCGAGTAGCTCTTGAGCCGGCGGATCCATGTAATAATGCTTTTACTGCATATTGTCTACTACTACTTAACATTCAATGCCCTAATATGTTATCAATCCTATAGCTGAAATTAATAAGCTCATTGAAGGACTTCGTTTGCTCAATCAAGCTGACCCATGTGTTGAGGTTCTCGTACAAGAAACCGGTGAGCATGTCATTTTAACCGCTGGAGAAGTACACCTTGAGGTTTGTTACTGGGTATTCTTTATAGTTATATATAATTCAACATTTCTATTCTTAATTGAATTTTTAATATTTTATTAGAGATGTTTGAGGGATCTAAGAGAACGATTTGCAAAAATTGAGATTCAAGTTTCCTCTCCCATTGTACCATTCAGAGAAACAATTGTTCCTGTGTCGGGTATTTTAGAATTTATATTATTTCATTGTCCATCATTATTTATATTTTATGAAACTAATATGTTTAAAAAATAGTAGAACTTCAATCAAATAAAGATAATACACAACGCGGTGTGGTGACGATTTCTACACCAAACAAGTATTGCACTATTAAAGTGCGTACCGTTCCACTACCTTCAAACGTTACTGCCTTCCTTAACCAGCATGCTGTTACCATAAAATCTATTCTGGAACGGCAACAACGCAGTAAAATTGATGCACATACCACAGAAGAATATGAAGATGCTATTAAAGAGGTCACTATCAAAGGGGAAAGTATACTAGACGCTGAAGAGTTTTCCAAACTTCTCCAACTTGAATTTGACAAAGCAGCTAACAGCGAAATTTGGAAAAATGTGGTGAAAAAGTAAATTTAAATTATTTATGACTAATTAAATATATTATTTTAATAATCT